CCCCAAAACCCCAAAACCCCAAAACCCCAAAACCCCAAAATCCAGAGAGAGGTTGATTTATATATTTATAATAGGAAGATTATTTCCAAAATGATCTTTAAGAGAAAGATTAAGAGTAAGATACTTCAGCCAACTTTATTTATGGCCCTTTAGCCAAGGAGAGGAACACACCTGGACAGACAAGCAAGCAAGGTGAGACGATTACTAAAGACTTAGTTTAGATCTAAATTAGTGCTATGGAACGGAGCAGAGTCTCTATATCAAACTTCGCCCTTGCTAAATTATAACCAACACCAAGACTCTTCTCTATCAACCTCGCTTAAAGCTTCCTATTTCAACTTTTCTTCCTCAATAGAGTATTTTGTAGTTAAAGGATGGAAAATTTTGATGAATGTGTTCAAATTCTAAACTTACTAATCTTTTCTTGATAAAAGTTCGACTACAAATATGATAGTGTTAGCACTGAAGAATCTGACTTACATAATTCATCCACGTCCTAAAGAGTTATAGAGCATCGCTTCTTTACCTTACCTAAAAATACTGCTAGAAATAACTCGAGGATGGCATAACTGAGCCTCATAATTTTGACCATAACAAATTTTGTGTGAAAATAAGCAAAATTCTTTGAAGCAACTTGCTTTGCTTATCAATGATCTTTAAAATCATTTTCAAAAACTCAGACTAAATTTCTTGGTACTAACTCACAAGGGGATGCAGATTCAGCTTTTGATGCTATAAATAAGCCTTTTGGGTTAAAAATAATATTACTTAAGCTTAGTCCTAACTTTTAATGATGAAGTCTTAATTTTAAACTAAAACTTGCCATATGATTAAATTTTAGCCACGGCTTTACTTTAAAGCTATCATATGTCTTGGATTGGTATTAATTTGCAAAAATTATGATGTGCTACTCACATCGAGAGAAATAACCATTCAAAATTTAACAAAGCCACATGGACTTTTAGAAGACATTTAAATTAGCAATCTTAGACTGAATGACAGCTAGAGAGTATCCTGATTATATACCTCATAGCTAACTTTCAATCAGGATTAGAGTCCTGTGTTCATGAGTCGAGTAATTGTAGAGTCTCTTAGAGTACCAACTTGACTAATCTTCGGTTAGATAATTTATTAACACGAAACAAATGTGGGTAAAGAGCATTTCTATAGCATATTGTCGGCTTATATGGTCCAAGCCCCAAGCTTACTAAATATTTCTTATAACTAGATTGGGCTAATTCCATTGAAGATTTCGAGAGTTTAAGCCTCATTAGCAACGATAGAATTTGTGTTGAAGAATATTTTAATAAATTTAACAGAATTAATAATTTTTCCTCTTATTAATCATCTGTTTATGCTCACCAGCCAAGCTAGTGTGTCGGACTCGTTATTCAAGTTAAGAATATTTCTTAAATCGTCAAATCTTTTCATACCACAACTCTTTGCTAGTAATAAGCTTAGTTAAACTATCTTCATCCAAAGGATTATCTAGATGAAGAAAATGATTCCTAAAGCCGCAATATTCATTAATACTCTCGTTTAGCTAATTTTTCTGGATAAAGAGACACTTTCGAAAATCCTTTACTTCGGGGAAGAGAGTGCATTAGTTCTGGGTTTCAATAATGAGCTTTTGGGCTCTGAAAATCAATTAGCCAAAAGCTTTAATATATCTGAGTCATCTGTGGCTGCCAAAAATTGCTCCTATTTGGCATAAGTCGCTGGATGATGTTCAGAGCTTTCATATTTAGCTTCATTTAAATGCTTTTAGCTAACATTTTAAATGGTATTTAGCCTAAAAAGGCATATGTTAATGCAAAAGATTGTTACAGCTCTATTTTACATCTCTTAGCTACATTTAGACATACCTAAAGCTACACAGACCAAAGATGGATACAAGAACTTTCTGTGTGGAGGTAAGTCTCTAATAAAGTCTTCTTAGTAATAAAAAGTTATTTGAATTTTTCAGGAAGTAACTACAAAGCAAGTCAATTTCATATTTCTACATTGTTCTCCAAATGCTAAAGGATCAATAATCTGAGCCTCCTTATTGTATAAAGTCTCTAGGCATTCAAAATTAACCTCTACAGTCTCAATATTTGCTTGAATGATACTTTAAGGCTAAATAAGCCTCTGATGTTTTGTCCAAACCTTAAATCTAAAGTAAAGCAGGCTTAAATTTCAGCACTTCTAGATGTCAGTAAGAATCTAACAGTCTGTATGTTTGCCTTGATTCATGCAGAATGCCAAATGTTACCAGCAAATTGGAGGCTATATCAAACATAGTGACTAGAACTCCGAGATTATTAGTTCAAAGATTTTAAGACTATAAGCTAGGTTATATCAAAGCTCCATTTCTGCTCCAAGATTGACGAATCTAGCACTTTCAAGAATTGCATAATTTAGTTATTCAAAGAAACAGTAGTCTAGTCAGGGAAAGTTTTGTCAATTTTAGGATAAAATGATGATCTTATTCACACTTAATTCCAAAATGTTATATTTCTCAAAGGCTATAACCTTGATCATTGTGTCGTAATCCAAGGCTGTCCTCTAAACTCTGCATACGTTGGTAATCTAACCAAGGAGCATGCCTTATTGACATCATGCTAGCTTTGGTCTGTATCAAGAAATTGAGATATCTCTTCAAAAATTTGCTTTTCTTTGGGTCAATTTTTTTAATAAAGTCTGTAAATTGAAATAGGGCTGGGTTTCCTTAAAATAAGGTAAGACTGTAAATGATCGAGAGATCAATATAAGCTAGGGCTCAGTTTTACACCTCACAAGGTTCAGATTAAACTATTTCTCTCTAAAAAATTGATCATAAGAGGAACCTTTGCTGATTTTTAATATTCAGATCTATCTCTAATTTATCTGTTCTCCTTAAGAATTGATTTAGTGGCCTTACCAATTCCTTAGTCTCAAGGATCATTATTGGCCGATAAGTTCAAGTATTATACCTGTAGAGATAAAAGTGTTTAACTCCTTTCAAAATTTATAGAAAATTTTGTAAGTAGGAAATTCACCAAGGCTGGGATATCAAATAGCATATTTAAAGGACTTCCTCAAAGAGTCGAATCCCTTCAGCTTGGGTTTCGGTTGTATTGATGGTATATAACTTAGCCATGACATTGTCCGATCTGTTAGCTTCCACTTAACATTTAAATGAAATTTGAATAATTTAGTGAATTTTTTATGCATATTAATGGCAGAATTTATACAATACATCGAACCTTTAAGCCTCTTGTAATAACTTGACTATATCTGGACCACCAAGTACAATGCCTTCAAGCAGGAAGGCACGAAATAGTCTCGACACTAAGAGGTTTAACTTGGCTTCTCAGAAATTACATACTCTCTTAAAACACTTCTGCTAAAATTTTAAGCTATTTTCTTGGTGAATTTCAAGATTAGAGATTAGATAAAATATTTTTATCTATTTTAACAACTCAAAATTTTAGTGAATATCTTTATGTGCCAATTGTCGAGCTCTGAAAATTCTTGCTGTAGTAACCGTATCCGCCCTTTTTGCAGGGATACTATATCAATCAATTATAATATTATTCCTAAACCTCCTGTGAGGGTGTTTTTGACTTATTTTTAATAAAATTGTTTCTAGGAATGAGTTACGAAGCTCCTTCTTTGCTATATAAAGCATCCTGTCCTCCAAATCTTAAAGAAAAGGTAGGTATTGACTGTGACAGAGATCTCAAAACCCAACTGTTACCTCAAAAATCTGTTGAAGGTAAGAATATTACCATTGAGGAATAACAGAGTATATAAATTCTCAATGAAATCATTTTGGCTTGGGCACTTCTGAGCTGAATTCACGCCATGGATGACTCAGCATTCAAAAGTACCAATTCAGCAATTATTTCATGCTGTAAAATATCATGAAAGATGGGGGGCTTGCTCTTGGATATATTATTTAATTGCTCTAGAGCTCAAAGATATCATGAGAGAAGCAAGTAGTCAAGGAACCAAGCAGCCAAAAGTTAAGCGAGGCAGAGGTAGGCCAAGGAAGTATCAAGACCCTGACATGTACACAAGAAATATAAGAATGGACACTAACGACAAGGCTATTATCAGAGCTGTCAGGAAGGAATTCATTGAGTTTTTTAGACTTTTCTGTGTGAAATCTGGATTCTATAACTACGAGAACCTCAGCAACGATCCATTGTATATTCGGTCAATGAAATTTGAGATGAGCGATGACAAGTTTAACGAAGCCATGCAAGAATTTGTACCCTTCATCCTTCAGCAGGATACCACTGAAACAGTATGTTTGACAGATGAAACTTTGGAAAATATGAATAAATTCTTGACAGTGTTCGTTGACTTCTATAAAGGGCCAACAATCACTTTTCCTGGGTCTAACAAACTCATGAAGGATGAGATGCGCAGTCTGTTTTACTCATATTCTCACAGAAAATTCGAAGCTTTCCTAGCTGTACCAGAGATGAGGTTTGTGCTACACAAAGTACTAAATCCTGGCTACATAGACACCCTCATTTCTAAGAATACTACCTTGAAAGAGAACGAAGATATTTACAACAAGTGCGCAGAGATGATACTCGAAAAGGTTGAGAAGCATAGCAGAAGGAGTCAGGAATAAATCAACTAATGACTTATTTTTAAGTTTATTCCTCTTAATCATACTTCTCCATAATATATCTCAGAAGCCCAAGCTTGAGTTAGATAGCTGATCTTAGGTCTTATCACAAGGAGTAATTGATTTACCACTTTGTTCCTAGTGAAACTACCTATAGCTTTTGGTAGTCTAGCCTCCATCGCCATATTCCAGCCAGAATGTTTTCCTTTGATAGCCAGGTCTTAAAATATTTATGATCAAGTAATCTTCTTTCAGGGGATTAAACACACCAATGACTTCGTATGAATTGCCTAGACTTTTGGAAGATCAGTTTTCTCAACCCCATCATCACAAACATCTTGGTGAACGTAACTCTGAGGGCTTGGATTCGTATCTAATCTTTATGCCAAGGCAAAGCTCCTCAGTAAAAATAATTCTATGTGTCATTCATCCTGAATCCTGACTCTTAGCCATAGATTATACATCTGAAAAAGCTTTTCAATCCTCATAATGAAATTTTGGATATTATAATTTGCTATGATTAATTCTATATTTCTTTAAAATATTGGGGTTTTGGGGTTTTGGGGTTTTGGGG